TGGGTGTTTTGATGTTTAGATTTTCAATATTAAGTGTTTTGACTTTTTTTTTTTTTTTGCACTACATAGATCATTACCAACAATCCAAAAAAGACCATATTACCATCTCAAACAACTCCTTTTCTTTTTACCAACGATAAAAAAACAACCACATTACCATTTCAAATGATTCCTTTTCTTTTTAAAGATTGAAACGCTTCCAAAAGGTATTGTGATCATTTAGAAAAAAATAATGGCAAACTTGTAAAAATTTAGCTATATTTTTAACTTAGATTTTGGACATTGTAAATAGAATTATAATACATAGAATTTTCTCGATACAATTATTAAAACCTTAAAGTGTAAAGTATAATTTTTTAAAATTAAGAATGAAAAGTGTTCTTACCACCTAAATTAAAAAATATTTTAAGTGATTTACCCTCATTCAATTGAATTTTCCATGGAAAAATTTTTCTACTAAAGTTTCGATGGCAAATCAATTTACCTATTCTATTCGAATCAATTTATCAAAGATAACATAACAAAGGTTTTTTTTTCTTTTTCTAATTCCTAAACTTCTAAAATTTTTACCAAAAAAATCCTCTCTCTTCATCTCCTAAAGTCTTGCAATATGTATATATTGCAAGAATTTAGGAGATTTAATTGCTACAATTAAAAGATTATGTACTTGATTAAAATAATTAAAAATTTTAAACAACCACTATAAATTAGGAAAAAGCTTAAATAAGGGTTGGATTGAGCAAAATTTAAGGTTTAGGGACCGAAATTGAAGTACTCTATTAAAATGATTAAGGAAGTTTAATAACCAAAATGTGTGATTTTGGAAAATTGAGGGACCATTTAATTTGGCTAGAATTGGTCTCTTTTAAACCATATATAAGCTGCAATAAAGAGAAACAAAGAGGGAGTTAAGTCAAGCAAAATGAAGAAGAATAAGGAGAGAATATCAAGGAAAAATTGAGAGAAATTGAGAGAAATCTAGAAAAAGTATTAAATAAAAGGATTTGTGATGAAACCAAGTGTCTCACACTTGGAAAAATCACCAAGAAAATCCTCTCTATAAATTTTGGCCAACAAAAGGAAGGAGGAGAAAGATGAGTAACCAAGAATTCAAGGTAGAATAAAAGAAATTCAAGCTATTTCGAGTAAAATTTAACCTACCCACCACCAAATATGAACTAAACTTCTTTAGATATAAGCCAAAAACACCTTAAAATCACTTAAATAAGAAAAAGAACAAAGAAGGAGGAAAAATGGAAGTTTGAGCCAAAACTTTGAAGAAAAAAGAGGGTGAGAAAATTTAAAGCTAACAAGGAGAGATTTATCAAGCATCGAGTGAGGTAAGTATAGTCCTCACTACATCACAAGATTATAATAAATGGATGGTTAATAGTTTATGTCTTAAGGTTTTAGAAATTAAGGTTAATTGTTTGGATTTTCTTTTAATTGAATGATATTGATAAATCATGATTGAGATCATGTTTGTGATGATTGAATGATCATGTTGGATGGTTCAATTGAAGTTGGGTATTCGATGGTGAAAGTTTTGGCTAAGTTGTGAATTTTGAGAAAAATGGTTGGGTTTCAAGAATTTAGGTTAATTAGATGTTCTTTAGAATGATTTAAGGTGCGTAAAAGTATTTGATCGATAAATTTGGGTTGATTACCTTAATCGATGAATTTGATCATAATCACGAGGTTAGGATTAATTGGTGTAGTTGGGTTAATTGTGTGTTTATGCTTGATTTAAGTTTGTTCATGTTTGAGTGATTGATTATTGGTTGAGATGATGATTAATTATTGGATGGATAATGTTAATTGATGTTTGATTACGATGGGTCATATGTAGAATCAATAGATAAAGGATGGAATCACGCTAAAATAAGATTTAGGAACCTTTAAATTGTTGAATTGATGAAGTATTAGTTGTTGTCGTATTTGAGACAAATTTGAATTTTAAGGCAAGAAATATCAAATCTGAAATTGTTTGTAAATTGGTAAGATTTATATGTATTTAGTGATAATCAAGATAGTTTTAGTTTGTTTAAATTGATTGATGAAATGTTTAGCTTAAAACAAGATTTAGGAACCTTAAAGTTGCTAAAATCATGATGTTATTGATAGTTTACATGTGTTAATCAAATCTGGATTTTGGTGGATTGATGTATCAAATCTGAAATTTTAATGGATTGGTATAATTTTCATGTGTTTAATGATAACCATGTTAATGTTAGAGTATTTAAGTTGAATGATGACATGTTTAGATAAAAATTAATTAGTTAGATGCTTGATTATGGTCAGGACAAGATTGATGTCCATGATTTGTTCTTGGTAGTTGTGGCAAGGCTAATTGTTTGTATATGTTGATGCATTTTTTTATTTTGAACAATAATTGTGCAATTTATTAGTGACATGATTATTTGGTAATAAATTCATGTGGAAAGTAAATGGGTTTTATATTTAACTTGAGCAAGGAATGGTTTATGGTTAAATTTAGCCTAAAGGCTATTTTATGATCTCGATGCTCATGGGTTGGTTTAATGTTGTTTCTATGTATTGTTAGTGTTTCGTAAAAGTATGTTTTGTGTTCAATGGTATTTGACTTGGTTATTGGTTTATTAATGTTCATGGATTACATGTCATGCCATTGTTTGCATTCACTTCGTGAAACGATTTCCATCATGTTTATGGTTTTCAAAGATAAAATCCAATGTGTAGATTTTCAAGAAAATAGCTAGTTATGTCCCAATCACAATCATAGGCTTAATCCATGGCATACAAAGAGAATGATCAACTTTTTATGAGCATCATAGTCACAAGTTCAATCATGGTTCACAAAAGGGGAGTGATTTGGTGAATACTCCTTATGAACGTCATATGCTTCACAAGAAACATGTCCAATGCTTTTCATAGTTTTCATAGATTTGGTTTTCATGAATAGCTGGATATATATAAATATATTCGATAGGGTACACTCGATCACATAAAATGTATTTCAAAATCATAAAAATATATTTTTATTGCATCATGCATTACATGACGTGCATACATGACTATACTTACCGAGCATAAGCTCATCAAGTTGTTTTGTTATGTAGGTATTCAAGAACATATAAAGACTCGGAGTAAAGCTAATGATGAGCTAGAAGAAAAGGTGCTACAAGAGTTTGTCAAAATGTACTCGTAAAAATTAGTACAAGTTTAACCTATTTTATTTTAAATGATCTAGGTAACTTTGTTTATTTAGAACAAGAATGAATGAGTAAATAAATATTTCAAGATGGTTATTAGTTAGTTGGTTTGACTAGAAATTAAGTTAATTAAATAGAAATTAAGAGTCAAACTAATAAAGGGCTAATGATTAAAAATATTAAATGGTTTTAATTAGTATAAGTTAGATAAATGATAGGTCAAATTCTAAATTAAAGTAGTTTCAAAAGATTAAGTGAATTATTTAGTTTTCCTTAGGACAAAGATTAAAATACAAAGAGCTTAATTAAATACTTTATCTAAGTCCATAGGATTTCTAAGTTATAAAATGATTTTAGATATCTAAAGGTTTCTAAAAAGTTACTTATGTCATAATGTTATACATGTTGAATTGGCTTAATAATTAATGAAAGTTAAATGGATTATTTTATACTTAGAAAGATTATTTGAAAGTATTTTAAGAGGAAAGGATTAAATGAAGATGGATTTAAACTTAAAGTGGTTTTAAAATAATTATTATGTTTGACAACATGTCTTACATAATATATATGTTCATATGTATGTTTTCAAAAACATTGTGTATTTTCAAAAAACGTTGTTTCTGTAACTATAATTTCAAAAACATTTTGAAGAAAGTCAATACATTATTAATTGTGGTGATTATGTTTATTAAATGAATTTAAGTTAGATTTTTTTTTTTTTTTTTTACCTAGATGTTTAATGAGAATAGACCTAACTATAAAAACTAAATAAGCTTCCATGGCAGTTGATAAGTATTTAAGCAAATAACACAACGTTTAATGTTTCACCTTCATTGCATTAAAAATGTGACATACTGCTAACAATACTCTCAACCTATTTAACTCCTAGGTCAATAGTGTTACAAGAACAACTGTCAATATTTTGAACAAAACCCTCGATCCAAGATCCAAAACTGTCTCTTAGAACTCTACCTGCAGAAGCTCTTCCCTCATGTAATTTGGCAGAACCATCTATCTTCAACTTCAACCATTCTGATTTTAGAAGTACCCAAGATATCATTCCATCTAATTTCTGTGGTTTTGTAGCAGAAAACCGTTATAGATCAACCTCCACTTTCTTGACTTCTTCCACACGAGAAAAAAAATCATGTTGAATATTGTGTAGTAGAGCAAAATTGACATAAAAAATGCTCATAATACAGGTTAGCCTAAAGTAAAAATTGTGGTAGAATCCTCCAAATATATTTGATTAAATTAAACCTGCTAAGAAATTTAACTATCACTGACTTCATCATTCTTCTCAACAATCTAAATGTAATAAATTCTCTGTTCTGTGGTTGAATCTATACAAAGGACAACCTCTAGAAATGTGTACCTTACCCAGAAATCGAACAGGGTACCATCTTATTTGCTCTTTCGTTTTGTTGGTCTTACTGTAATGGTTCATTTTATGACCATCTCCACCCTTGTATGTCATTTTTTTGCTCCAAAAGGGTAGTGAAAGAGTGAGCACCATCAAATGAACTGAAATCATGACTCTACAAGCCATGAGAAATGTCAGCCCTCAGCTCATCAAACTAGCACACTATTCTTTGCTGATGTGATTCCTCAAAGTGATTTCAATGAGAGAAGCTACTCATATGGAACTACTTAGATCTTATACAAGTAAAGATGGAAGTTAATGAAAGGAGATCAATAGGATATTCCCATGAATCATGATACAATAAGATTACACACACTTGAAATTTGCTGACAAAATTTGTCTACCCTAGGCTAGCATAATCATGGAGCTAAGTAGCTACGAGATTTTCAATCCTGCCAAATAGCCTTGGAGGCCAAAACATGCTCTATTTGACTTACACACACAGTAAAGTACTCCGGATCCCCTTCTTCATTAAATCTGGAACAGTCTTTGTTCCTCGGTCCCAGCTGCATTTCAGCACAGTAAGTACTTGTGTAACCTTCGTGGACAGTGAAGCAGATTGTGCCATTGTTGTGGCGAGAGTAGAAAAGGGGCTGAAATAAAAGATCACCTGCTGCACCTTTTTTTCCTCCCTGAATTAGACTTTCAACAAAAATCCAGATAAATAAGCAGATAGAGAGAACCTAACAACGATCTGCTGGGTATGTTCATAATACATCAAATTTCTAGCCATACCACAAAAGCCACTGTAGTTATCATAAAGTGCATGAAATAACACATTGTGGTCAGTTGAGTCCCGACTCTTAAGTGCTCATATAGTTCCTTCAGTGACACTGTTTCAATTGACTGCAATACCAAAAAGAGTCATGGTATCTTACTGGAGATCACCTAGACAATTAGAACCACCGTCATCCATATCATCACCGATAGCACCACTAAACTAACGCATTTCAATTCCCAAATATCAAAGAATCTATTTCGTGACTAGCCAATACAGTTTTCATGTTTCCCAAGATCGACACAGTAACAGAGTACAAATCATGCTCTATATCAAGTTACCATCACCAGCTACCCTAGAGATTACAGGACATGTAAAACGAAAAGGAATAAAATGAAAACCAAATTCGAAGCCAAAGAAATACTGCCTAGGATCATCCGTTCCGAATCAAGAAATATTCACTTATTAAAAGAAAACTTACTAAAAGACTTAGTAGCTTAAGCCTAGAAAGACGCAAGAAAAATGGAGACAGGCCTTGGCCTAGTGATAGCATTCCCTTGGGCCGAATAATATTAATATCAATGCCTTGCAGTAAATGCAATCTATAGCCAATATAGATAATTCCTTTATCTAGGAAAATCCAATTTCCACAAAAATGGCAGTTAACATTGAGTTAGAATAGTTTGCAAGTGATAAATGCAAACTTAAAAAATGAAAAGCCTTAAAACAATATTTTAAAAGGAGATACAAAGAGAAATCAAAAGTTTGAACAGATCTTTGAACTGGATGAATAAACGATGAGATTTCATTTATATCTAATTGAATAAATATTAGTGTACCTAACTGAGGAAAAGTTACAATGCGAGGCAGAGTGCCTTACCTGTAAGCTGAACTAAGTGTTTTATGGACAAGTGAGATCTCAATTAGCGAATCAAGGTTCAGAAAGGAGGCAAGAACCAGAGAGGAAAAGAAGCCGAATCACTAAATTTTGCTTTATGACTATAAGACAAGAGAAAAGTAAAAGATCATAGACAATGGAAACAAAAGTCCACAACCCCTTGGCATTGAGAGAATAGAATGCTAGATGAGCAAATAATGAAGAGGAAACAATTTGTCTTCAGAAGGATGCCCCACAGGCATATCTGGTCATGAGAAATCTCTGCACAAAGGAATTGGAAAGAATTATCAGTACAAAGTGGTGCCAAAAGAGGGTCTGCTCAAGCAGTATTTTGCCAAAAGAGTGATGTGATATCAACAAAGAAAACTTGTTGCAAGAGGAAAATAATTTAAAAAAAAAAAGAGAAGAAAAGTAAGATGAAACCAGATGAAACATTAGATACAGTGGAAGAACTGACAGCCAGCTCTGAATGGAGAAAGGTAAAAGGACAATACAACAAAGAAGTCTTAAAGATACACATGAAGAGTGTGGTAATGCAAATGTAGGCCCATCTATGGACAGGATCACCATTCATGGAATGACATAATGAGACCATGAGAAATTCTATGGCTGTATTCCTTGTCTTTAGAAATTATATCCACCACCAACTTATCCGAAAGTTCCCATTAGTGTTTGCTTCATGCCGTGCATTTATTCAAAAGTTCTAAGAACTTGAAGAGTTACAATAATATTTTTCATTGTTTCAACCTCTAAAATCTCTTCCCAATAGTGTTTGCTTCATGGCGTGTATTTCTTCAAAAGTTCTAAGAACTTGAGGAGTAACAATAATATTTTTCATTGTTTCAACCTCTAAAATCTCTATCGACCCAAAGTGAATTATAGCAGACAAATCAATCTCATTCGCTTAGTTGAGAAGCCAAAAATTCTTGCTAAGGGAAGTGTTGATTGCCTGACTGCCATGATTACTTGAACTCTAAGTGGTTAAATATTTCTTGGGAACTTCTTCAAAATGTACAACTCAACTCAACTAAGCCTGTACCATAAATTAACCAGAATAATACACTACATTAACCTCTTTCATCCATTTCACCAGTTCTGATTTCCTATTCAATGGATTTAATAAAATTCTCTTTTCTACTATCAACCTACACACCTTTTTACTGAATTGGGACATGGCATATGGAGAGGCATATGACACCAAGGACTGTCGAAGAGATTTTAGAGGTTTTACAGAACTGGTGAGATGGATGAAAGAGGTTAATTTGATTAAGTTAAAATAGAACATAAGAAATGTGGGGTTCACAATCTTTTGGAGCTTTTGGTTGTGGCTTCATGACTTCTCAGGATTGAATATCGTCAAAGAAAGTGATTTGGGATACAATAACATGATTTTCCTTTTGAAGGGTTTCTCGAGGAGTATTTTTAGCTAATGTTCAAAGAGATAAGAAATGTATCAATTTTCGTTTTTGTTTGATTTCTAGAAGGATACCTCATTCCCTTTGTTTTAAAGCACATTTTTCTCTTTGATGAATAAATTAAAAAAAATTAAAGTTATGCATAATGGAAACAAAACATGGGACTGAGGGAGTATATTACTAAAGAAACCATTTCGTTTTTAATGCAACAATAGATGTCTGCCTTGAAGAAATATAAGAAAATAATGTTAATCGCTTGTAATCTCAAACTTTACACTTTCAACGTACAAGAACAAGTTTCTTTGGAACCCAAGAGCACAATCACAACAGAGAAGCATATATGTCACACAGTGCGCCTATTGTGAATACACAAGTTAATTGAAAGGATATAGCTTTGTTTGGTACATTCAGAGGAATCCCCATCTTCCAATCCATTCAGCATATTCTCAAAATAATGGCCGAGGATAGTATAATTGAACTTATTTAGAACAAAATCACAAGTTTCTGCTGCTTAAACTAATTGGAGATCATATCCTATATTTCCAAGCTTTCACATTGTGAATGAGATATCTATTCAAACATATCTTTGCTTGTTTTAAATTTCAAGCGTTTCTTAGTGGTTCAACATATCAATTAATTGCTCAAAAATTCAAGACAATAAAATTAACTAAAGAAAGCAAACCGATTGATTCTTCACATGAGTGGTCATTCTGAACCCAGAGGAACAAAAAATTCTCAAGCATCAGTACATCACTAGTAGTTTTCATATGTCCAAGTATCCTAAGCTTTGGGAAATTCAATAAAAACATAGGAGGTCCTGGTATGCTTGGGCACCAAATTATTTAAAGTATATACAAGACTGCAATATAAGTGGCATTAAAACAAAGAGAAAATTTTACAGTTGGTGTCACTATATCTTATTTTTTTCTTTGGACATACACCATACCTCATGGATTTAATGCTTTCATTGGAATGCAGAAAATCATCTCTTCAACTTTTTGGTTTTTGATCTCTTTCCCACAAAAAGAAGCCTACCATGGACACTCGTTCCTTGACGAAAAGAACTTTGAACAATGGAATTACGAGTATTTAGTTTAGTCTGAGGGCAGAGACCATGTGTGTTTTTTCTTCCTCAGTCTTTTTTTTCCTAGCACTCTTTCTTTCTCCTTGCTATTCTATTTTGTTTCTTGCTACAGTAATCTTGGGGTGAATATTCACACCAACAGTACAATCCCAGATTCTTATAAAACACATCCTTAATCAATACCAATTCCACACACATCAAACCCTAACCCTACTTGACACCTAAAATCCTCAATACACCAATCCCAGCTCACAACGAATCCTTTGAGGGAGAAAAATAAATCAAGCTCCTTTTTTCTTTAGCTTTCTCATCCAAGTAACATAACTTAGAACAATGTTCTCATTATCGCTATGACCTGGTGCATATTTCACAATCTGGATTCTTGATGCGATTTGAATTAATAAAAACAAAAGGCATGCCCTTTGTTGTGCATTATCGACCATGTATTTTATGCATTAATAAGCAAAATTGGATTCAACAAACATGAAAGAGATTCAAAAGGACAACATAGACCTTTAATTGTGCTCACCTCTTTTATTCTCCTTTCCAGTCTGTCAATTTGCTGCGAGGAGCATAGAGCTTTGCCACTTGCTCCTCAGCTTCCATGTCATTAACCACACCACGGCACCGAGGGAAGCCACAATAGCATGCCAGTTTTTCTTCAATTGAGAAAAATCTGAAAGAAATAAAGTCAGCATCTCAAGGGAATAAAAACGGAACTTTTGCACAGAGGAGTTGAGGGAAACCTATAATCGTATGTGAGCTCTTCCCATCTTTTAATGTCTCTCTTTGCAAATATAATTATATGCTCATCACCATTAACACTTATAACTCTCGAATAGCAATTGGGCTGCAGAAAAGCAAAAGGAATTTAAACATTTGATAAAGCCAGTGTAGAAATAAATAACAATATCAGAAGCATATTATCCATGTGACCATTCATCTTCAAGCAAGTTTGAAAACCTTAAGAGAGAAAAATGCTAAAGTTGGATGAACTTATCATCTGTCAAAAGTTAATCATAAAGCTTTCAATAAATCATATATGGCATAGATCTTTTCAATACATTTTTTTCGTGTGCAATAGAAATACTTTTAAGGAGGAACAGATGATATGCACCTCACACGAGTGATTAATCAGATGAGCAATACTTCCAGCTCTTGTGGCATCAATGACTCGTTTATCATCAATTCTGAACATGTAAGTTCCAGCACCCTACATTAATAAGGAAAAGAAAAGGTAAACTTCGATCTCAACAGTTTTTTACAGAACTTTAACGTAGTAAGCAATCAATCTTTCAGAAACAACCACATTAGTTTTATGGATGATAGTTCATAGTTGTACTAGACAAGGCCACAACTGCATACATGCATACAAAGATTAAGGACAATGGCAACATTCTGAACAGAAACATACCACCAATGAATTGTATATAAAGCGCTCTCTCCTATCAGCTATTGGAGGTCTGACAAGTTCACCAGTATATTCAATCACCTATAAAAATCACGTATTTATAAAAATTTTATTCCAAATATAAGTAAAAAAAAAAAAAAAAACCGATATCATATGACATCAGCAAATTAATTTACCATATCCCCAGCCCTATGTGGATGCTTTGCAAAGATGCCAAATCCATGGATTCCAGATTTGCCTAAAGCATGACACATTCTCAATGATCAGCAAAAGAAAAAACCAATGAACACCAATGACCACGTACAACTCCAAACAAACTGGAAACTTCAAATAGAAATTTGGAATACCAACTTACCAAATGCTAATCTCTTTCGGAAGGTCTGCAGCATGTGTTGATACTTTTCAGCCATAGAGAGAATGTTACTAGGAGCATCGAGTTGAGAGGCTCTTAGCCGTTGAAGGCTAGAAGAGAAGCCAGAGTTGATGAGTGCATTAGAAACAAGTGTACATCCTGATGATTCATGTTGAGAATAACCACCAACCAAGTATGGCTGATTTTCTACAAACAATCGCTTCAAGGATGCAGCAGCAAGGGCTTCGGGTTCTTTCCGCCCCCTTCTCCCAAAATAATTGTAAGGCTCTGCAAGGATAAAAAAGACAGATATAAACCAAAATATCCAGGCTTTTTTATCTGATAGATTCAATAAAATATCTACACAGATAATAAGGTAACATTTGCAAACAAATTTGCAATTAATATATGCATCAAAAGTTTACAGTTCAGATAAAACTCTGCTACAAACTCAAAGACCAGAAACAATACCCAAATGAAGGCATGCTTGAGAAAGAGCAATGGAGACAGGTAAGTGTCATGAAGTGGCTTGTTGCAAAATTATCATAATTAAAAAATGAATAAAAGATTCACAGACATGTTCTTGCACACATACAAGTCAGAGGGTAGGAAATAAATATTTTAGAGAGTAATTGGTTGTGAAAGTACTGTAAATAGAACACAAGTACATAAAAAAGCATACCAGTGCGAGCACAGCCAGAAGGATTACATGGTGGGATGTAGTCAGAACAACGACGAGGAATTCGACCAACCCGTTCATCTATCACCACACGCTCATTAGATGGCTGCCTATGCTTCTTGCAGAAGGAAAGTAAGCGAATGCACTGATCTGCGTCATCTTCATCTAAAGAAAGTAGATAGAGTCTGTCCTCGTCCTCAAGCTATGCAATCATAAAAGAAAAAATACAGGAATATATAGCCATTTTTTTTCTAAATAATAGAGAAAAAATATATAAATGCAGATAAGCACACAAGGACATGCGCTCTTGCATACACGCACGCACGCGTGCGTGCACATACATGCAAATGCAGTACAAAAGATTACCTCAACACAAAGGCCAGCAGCACGTGCACAAAGTGGATGATATGCTACCCGACAAGTATTATTTGAACACTGCAAACAATATGCATTTTCAAAAGGGTTACAACTAAGTACTAACCAAAAACAAAAGAAAGAAAGAAAGAAAAGGAAAGGCAATCTGGATTTCAAAGTGGATGATATCCTTCTCTTGTTAGGCAAAAAGGTCTCAGATATTAGCATTTTTTCATTAATTTTCATAAATAACAATCAGTAAAGAGCTTTAGATGGCAAAAGATGAGCACCCAATATAAAAAGATTGCCTTTGTCAGAAAGCAAATTCTAAACAGACTAAAGTGACCCATCAGTCTTTCAGTTCCAGAAGGCATCTGCAGAAAAAGAAGCTGTAGCTACATACTTCAACTTGTACCAAAAAATTATCTCCACATATTTAGGTGTGGGAAGTTCATAAGAATATACACTTCTTAAATGGCTATACAAGGCCCAATCACCTACTATGTGCCAGTCGCCACAGTAGTGGAGAAACAGAGACTCATATATTCTTACATTATCAGATGCTGATTTTGTAATATAAATACCTCCAAGATTCTTGGTGGTATAAAAAATGTCCTTCATGTCCCTAAACTGTTTGCAAACCTTATTTCTATTAAAAAACTCACTAAAGATTCCAATTGCTAAGTAGCATTCTTCCCTTCAAATTGTGTGTTTCAGGAACAGGACACAAAGAGGATGATTGGATGTGCTAGTTAGAGAGATGGCCTTTACTATGTGGAAAATCAAAGTCGAAGAACTAAAGTTGAGAATTCCTTACCTACATCATTCCTCTTCGAGTCTAGTAACCCCAATAAAAATAAAATTTGGCTTTATCATCGTCGTTTAGGTCACCCATCTTTCAATGTCTTTAAGTTGATGTTTTAACTTCGTTATTCAAAGAATCAGTTGTTGAGTCCTTTCATTGCAATGATTGTGAACTTGCAAAGCATAAGCATACCTCTTTTCCAATAAGCAATACAAGAGCCCTTAGTCCCTTATTCATAGTGATAGTTGGGGTAATTCTACAGTTCAAAATATTTCTGGTGCTAAGTGGTTTGTACTCTTTATTAATGATTGTACTCGAGTAGTGTGGATTTATCTTTTGAAAAATAAATCTAATGTCAGCAATGTTTTTTTTAACAATTATTACAACATGATCAAAACTCAGTTTGATGTGAGAATTAAGCAGTTCTGTTCTGATAAGGACAAAGACTATTTTAACCAAACTCTCCATTTTTTCTAAAAGAAAGGATCATTCATGAATCCTCTTATGTTAGCACACCTCAACAAAATGAGATGGCTGAACGAAAAAAAGGCCACCTCCTAGATATCACAAGCATTACTATTCCACAAAAATGTCTGTAAACAATATTGGGGACAGGCCATCTTAACCGCTACTCATCTCATTAATAGACTCCCAACCAGGGTCCCTGATTTCAAAAGTCCAATTGATATTCTCACAATTTTTTTCCAAAATTTCAATGCCTCGAACAATCTTATTCCTAGAATCTTTGGAAGTGTTACATTTGTTCATATTTATTCTCAAAACAGAGGAAAACTTGATCCATGCGCTCTTACATGTGTTTTTGTTGGGTATTCTTCCACACAAAAAAGATATAAATGTTTCCATCCACCTACTAGGAAATTTTTTATTTCAGTTGATGTTACGTTTGTCGAAACTAAGCCTTATTTTCAGCATTCCTATCTTCAGGTGAGATCTTAAGTAGAGATAGAGCAAAGGACTCATTTCTTGATTTTCCTAGTCAACTCATTTCAACTGTTTCAACAACCGAAATTGTTCAGTCACCTTCTATCCAACCTACTTCTGTTAAGTCAGCTTCAGCATTTGTCGAACTTTAGTCTATTCCTTCTGAGTCAGCACCACTTGTTGAGTCACCCAGGTCATGTGGAATCATGGAGTATAAGGAAAAACAAGATAATATTCGACTACTACAGGTTTATTCTAGGAAGAATAACCAATCTCTCAACCTGCGCATGTACAATCTCCTGTTTGGACTGCTGTTCAAACACCAGAAATAGTTTCCAAGCCTACAACAAACATCATACCATCAACTAACCTTTCTCAACCCATTGATGAACCTGAGCAACCAAGTGATATGAACCTACCAATTGCCCTTGCAAAAGAAACCAGAACCTGCACAAAACATTCACTAAACCTATTCATGACCTACCAAAACCTATCCCAAAGTTATAAAGCCTTAGTTAGCAGCCTTCATAAGATTCTCATTCCAAGAAATCTATCCGAGGCATTAGGAGACAAGAAGTGGGAGGATGCTATGAAGGTGGAGATGGAAGCTCTAGAAAAGAACAAAACATGAGAGCTGGTGGAATTGTCGAAAGGGAAGAAGTTAATTGGATGTAAGTGGGTTTTCATAATGAAGTACAGGTCTGACGGTTCAGTAGAAAGATACAAGGGCAGGTTGGTTGCCAAAGCGTATACTCAAACCTGTGGCATTGATTACCTTGAGACATTTGCTCTAATTGCAAAGATGAATAAGATACATGTGCTATTATCATTGGCTGCCAATTTTGGATGGAACCTACAATAGTTTGATGTGAAAAACACTTTTCTTCATGGTGATCTAAAAAAAAGTTACATGAGGTCCCTCCTGGTTTTAAATCTAAAGACTGAATGGTATGTAAGTAAAAAAAAAAAGCCCTTTATGGACTTAAAACAATCACCCAGAGCTCGGTTTGGAAGATTCACCAAAGTGATGACTAAATTAGGATATAAACAGAGCCAAAGAGACCATACTTTGTACGTGAGACACTCAAAGTCAGGGGGAGTGACATCAGTGTTGGTGTATGTGGATGATATTATAGGAACAGGCAATGATACAAACAAGAAGCAAAATTTAAAAAGCCTAATGAGAGAATTTGACATCAAGGAACTTGGGAAGTTAAAATACTTTCCAGTTATCAAAGTGGCACATTCAAATCAAGGAATCTTTATTTCACAGCAAAAGTATGTGCTTGACCTCTTAAAGGAAACAAAGAAGTTGGGATGTAAGCCAATTGATACACCCATTGAGTTCAACCATAGACTATGGGATGCTCCAGATGATTTTTGTGGTGGATGGAGGTTCTTATCAACGACCTGTTGGGAAGTTAATTTATTTGGCACATACAAGACCAGACATTGCATATGATGTGAGTGTTGTTGGCCAATTTATGCATAATCCTAAAGAGATACATCTCAAAACAGTACTTTGAATTTTACAATACTGCAAAGGCAGCCTTAGGAAAGGAATCTTGTTCAAGAAAGGAGAAATATGACTTTGGAAGCCTACACTGACGCTGATTATGCTGGTTCATTGGTAGAGAGGAAGTAAACCTCAGGCTATTGTACTCTCTTGGGTGGTAACCTGAGTAAAAAGCAAAATGTCGTGGCTAGATCAAGTACAGAGTCTGAGTTCAGGTCAATGGCACTGGGAATATGTGAGCTACTATGGGTACAAAGAGTTCTTGATGATCTGAAGATAAAATGGGAAGGTCCAATGAGGTTGTACTGTGACAACAAATCAGCAACCAATATGACACATAATCCTATACAACATGATCAAACAAAACACATTGAGGTTGATAGACATTTCATTAAAGAAAGACTCGACAGTGGCCTAATATGCACTCCATTTGTTTCAACAAACGATCAACTTGCAGACGTACTCACAAAGGAGTTGTTGAATACTGTGTTTCGGGACATTGTTAGCAAGCTTTGACTGGAAGATATCCATTTATCAGCTTGAGGGGAGTGTCAAATAACGTGGCTTTATTAGGAAAATCGGGAGGATTTTATGTAATCTCTGATTGTTAAGGATTTTGATTAGCCGTATATACCAGTTAGGAAGTTGCGTGTTACAGAGGTTTGAGTTGCTATTTTTGGCTGCTCAGCAATGTATATATATTTTCATGTATGTAGAACATTTGAATAAAGAAGAATTATTCCAGAAGTCATAATTTGTGACAGGAACCCATTCAATTTCTTAAGACTCAAAGCTCACATTTAGAACCTTAGAATTTTCCTTTTGTATATCACAACTTGCCCTTTCTTTAAATAACTAACTAAATTTCTAATGCATCTTTCATGACTGAAGTTCTGTCGTGAAGAACTTCATTAATTAGAGAGCTGAATATCATCCTTCTCGGAACGGAGCACTAAGTGACTAGTAGTTGAGAGAGAATTCGTTGTCTCATTGAGAAGAGCTGGGCTAAGGTTTCTTATATTTCCAATCACATTGGCATTGGTGGCTTTTGGAACAGTTGATGGGGCAAACAGCACATCAGCTGCTACAATTACGACGCAAATCTCACTAGCTTAAAAATAGTTCTACAGGGAGATACGGCTCCCATTAACAAGATTTCAATTCAGAAACATTTAAGTCCCTAGAATTCTATACTGACCCTTCACATACATAGAGCTTATTAAAGATGTGCTAGTTTTTGGGCGAAATCCAGAAAATGATAAAGCCATTGCAAATGTTCCAACAGAAATTATAAAGATAATTAAACAAGAATAGCTACATGACAATAGGGAGCACCAAAAAAGAGCCAGGAAAAGCTACACAGAAGGACCTATCCAGAAACTCACTATGCATATTAACGAGTATATTATCATTGGATTAATTATGAGCTTACTTGGATACAAGCTCCATAAGCTACACCACAGATACTACACAAAAGCTTCCAACGATCCTGCTCAATCACAAAAACCAGATTAGAAGGAGAACAAATGCTCATTGATTGATCTCAAAGAATCTGATTGTGGTAATTCTGAAGTCAAAAGCCCTTGCAATACTAGATTACTCCAGCACAGCAACTAATACTCAGTGTGACAAGGTTACAGAGTGTAAAAAAAATAATAAGCAAACTCAAAGCAGAAAGAAACATTCTATAGGACAAGAAAATGCAATCTGAAACAACAAGCCAGTGTACCTTATTGATTCTATTTAGCCCATCAATGGGCTCCATTCTCTTGACATCAGATAGGCAAGTTTCTGCAGCATATAAGGTGCATCAACATAAGTCATTATAAGCATGGTTGTCAAATCAAATTCGACTCGTGAATCAGAAAGCCCATTTTTAGAATCATTAGTCTTATCAAATCGTGAATCATAAGATTCAATAACAAATAAAAATGGCACTGTGAGAGATAAATAACATACTAAATATTTCTGAAGTAAAGGAGAAATGATCATTTCCTAAACAAAATGTGCATCAATTCATTTAAGATATTAGTTCTTAGTCATAAAATTAACCACAAGTCTCAAAAGTCAACATATTGTTCATTGATACTTGATCATTGTAACAAGTCAATAACTTATAATATATCTAAAGCTACCTTCTAACCAGTTAAACTAAAAGATTTCTTAGTTTTAATACAACGTAATAATCTTTCTCAATGTTGATATCACCTTTGTCCAACTTGTTGTCTTTAAAACTCTTGCTTTCTTTCATCCTTTTCTTTCTTTGTGAAAATTTAATATATATAATTCATTTCAGTTTCAAGTAGAAATATATATCAAAGAAAATTGCTTGTACATTGTTATCATCCGTGAATTCTAGACTAAACCTTCCAATTCTTACCAGGTCTTTTAAAATTATCCATTTTACTTTCATTTTCTATTTGAGTCGACTCATAAAATTCATTGAATCATACTGAATAGAATCGTGACTGAATCATAAGATTCATGTATATCTAAGAGTCACCCCACGATTCATATCATTTTGTATGTGAAATGATTCGAATCATGAATCATAAGATTCTAACAACCACAATTATAAGAAAGGAAGAAACAAAATGTAAACTAGATTCTAACCAGGTATCCATATAGCACAAGCCAAATGAGCCCAGCGCCCATCCGTTGTAGGTTTCATAGCACCACCTAAGGGAAAGTCAATTCACACATTCAGTGACATTCACTCATAGCTTATAAGAAAGGTGCTCTAAGACAACCACACACCTATAACAGGACAAAGGCAGCATGGTGGAGGGGAGTCAGGAGCCCCTGGTCGACATAAATTGCATAACCACAGCACACCATCAACAGGTTCTAATTCCCCATAGCATCTGGCATGGACCTGAGCAGACACCAATTCTGATTAAATTGATGACAAGACTAGAAGGATTGTAGATGTGAAATGAAATAGAACAAAATGTTATGTCACTCGAATATGGAAGAGGAAGAATTGTACAAAACAAAATTAAGCAAGCTACTTATTTGAGTAAGAGTAAATAATGAGAAAACAATGTCGTTTTTTGAAGAGCTGCAGTCATAATACAATCCATTATGCAAATTCCATGAAACTGACAACAGAAAAACAAGTATAGAAACCCTCACCATCATTCTGCATTTATCACACTGCAGGAACAAATTGTTTTCGTATTCCTGGAAACCAAAGGCTGCAATTAGAAATTTCTAACCATTGAAACATCAGAGTCGGAGTACAAGAAGGGGAATAATTTCAATAGTTGGGAAACAAATTGAAGTCAAAGATGCCCAGAAAGCAAGACAAGTCAGAAAGATATGATGTGAAACAAAGAAATTAAGTGTTTTTCATGCATGGTTCCCTCATTCTCTATGACAGAGTAGGGAGTGGTTAAGTAACAAGTAAGCATGTTGCCAAACCAAACTAGTGCTATCCATGCATTATGGGAAGAAGTTTGGCTTTCACCTCATCCATATGGCAGACATTGCACTTATCAAGGTCTTTCCAGTCAACACGAACAGGTCTGTAACCAGCAGGTATGCCTTGATATCTTTCAGATGTTAACTTGAACATAGACAGTTTGGAAGAATGTCTGGATTTTGATAATCCCTGTCAGAACCATTGGAAATTAGTGTAAAATTACAATCACAATAAAAGATATTTGAAGAGTAGACACTCGTAACACCATAAGCTCAAAAAACCTCTGAACATCCAAGAGCAAGAAATAAACTGAACAGCACTATAAAAACACCAACCTAGCAAAATGCAAGACTATCTAGGCCAAAAATTTTGATATTGTGATCATTACATAATAACCAAACATACCGATACTGCCAAGAAAAAAAAAATCAAGGAACTTGACCAATTTAAGAATAAGAAGATAAAAGTTAAATTCACTAGGCCCTTTATAGACAATTTTGCGTCATAACAGAAAACAAACCTTTAACCTAGAAGCAAGTACCATAGTTTTTGCAAAGTTCTAATCTATCAGTAGTCGGTGTCATGCCAACCAAACAGAGAGTGATAGAATATTTGTTATTCCAAGGAATTATGACTGATGGTGAGAATTTAGACTCGAGGGTTTTCTGCTCTGGGTTTTCAATTGAAGGAGTTATTGTAATTGTAAGCTAATCACAGGGAAGTCTGGATCTAGATAATTCTGTTCATTACCATATTGTATTTGTGCAGTCAATGTAGATGGTTAACAGATTCAGGTGCCTCTTTGCAGGGAAAAAAAACACCTGGTTCACTAAGATATTCTCTCTTTGCTGAAGGTTATTTAATGGTCAAAGCAAACCCCACACCCCACACACACACTCAGCAACACATTTCAATCTTGTGCCTTCTGCAATAATCACATTCCAAGAAGCGAACCCATCATTTACTCAAACAAGAGATCATTAAAGCATCTCTATCCAGAATCAATTCAATAAACTGAAGGGAATTAGTATTAAAAAGATCTCCTCTACACCATTAATCATGCCAAAATAACATAGACCCACTCTCCCTAGCTTAAAGCAAACAAAAGTGGAGAAGTGCTCCTATCCTCTTCATATTTCGCATTCCTTGCTTCCCTGGATATCCACCCATTACAATTCATGTCCCACTCATACTTAGTTTCAACAATCGATCTTTATAAATTAAATGATTAAAACATGAACTTCCCAAGTGACTTCCTGAGAAAACCCTTATTAAACATGCAAACAATTTGATTACCAATTTCACCCATTAAGTGCATTTTGGGAGGCATTTGGAAGAGAAGCATTCCAAGATTCTATGGAGCTGCAACATGTTTGGGGTGACAGAGTGTGGGTGGAAAGAAATTCTAGAATGGTTAAAAACAAATTTATATTCAAACAACCAGTAAGGGATAGAATAGTTATTTTAGCCTCCAGGAGTTTTTTACCTTAGTTGATACGGAGGTATAATGTTACCTTAGATGATACTTAGGGGGAGCCAAAAAATATATTCTCTAGATATTCAATTGTGTCTGATGTCTCTTTCTTGTTAATGTAATTTTGCAAGTTTTCTTCTTTAAATAAATATTCAAAAAAAAAAAAAAGTGATAGAACAACTCTCTAACACACACAGTAATTATTTTACATAACAGAAATTTGTAGAGATAGAAAAAAGAATTACAAAAGCTTGATGGAGAATGTCATCCTCCCAAACAATAAAGCAAAACAAATTGCATAAAAGAGCAGCCCAATCCCATTGAATAAGCTAAAGAAACTCCCCTGAAAACACCTGAAGCACGACACCACAAAGAAGAAAGGAAAATTATCCTATCCCATAACAATTGTCTAGAAGCAGACTGGGTTTTAAAAATTCTAGCACTCCAACACTCCATTAATTGAAGTACTACAAAGTTTCAGAATCTAATGGAAAATTAAACTAATGATTTGAAATCAAATTGCAATGATGAATAGCAAAAGTAGATTTCTATCTCAACACAAACTATAAACAATATTCCACTCCACCCAATTCATTATTCATTTGCCTAGCAAATGAGTAATTTAGAAAAGGTTCCAACACAAAATGGCAGATGACAAAAATTGACATCAATATAAAGTAGGTCCGAATTATGGAATTTTAAGGTCATAGAATACCAAGAGGCACACCTTTATTAGTTTTATAACTTCAGGATTGGAGAAACCAAACATGTCGGAACCAGATTTGAGAACTCTTTCTTCTCCACCTTCAGCGTTAAAACCATTAGAAGTACCATCTTGCATCTTCCTTATTTTTCTGTATATTTTATCCCAGCAAGCAGCTGGTGTAGATCCTTTAATCTGGAAAAAAAATTATATCATCAACTGATACTCCTTCAACAGGTTTGACCCTATGTAGGTGAAGCAAGCAACAGCACAGGTGGTGGGACGCAAATCATATTTTAGGTTTGATGGACTGAAAGAAATAACTGAAGACAAAGTGAAAAGATCACAGTTTATTGATCATAAAAGTCCATTTATTGATAGCAAGATGCCCATATCAAGCGAGTCAAAAATAACCGATAATATCTCTTTTATCCCATTCCAGCCTCATTATCTCTCAGACCATTCTATCATGTTTTATAATGCCAAAAGATGTCATACAAAGTTTTTGTTTCCTCGATAAGTTTTTGTTTCCTCGATCATCTTTTACTTGTACGTGAAACGTTCATGGTATTAGTATACAAAAAATGGCCATGACCTATGATGCATAGTACAAAGAATCATTTTACAAGATGAGATAAAGAATAGTTAGATGATGAGAGTGGCATGCAATGCACAAAGATAATCAGAATAAATATGTATGTGGTTTTAGGATTACTTCATCACAACTGACCTCCTCTCCATTATCCATTGTCACTCTAAATAGAGGCCGAATCTTTGACTCAGCATCTCTCAACACTTCCATCTTATATATTGTACCAACATTTGGATCTGAAACCCACAAAGTCAAAACCAAAAGAGAGAATATGTCAAGGAACTAATAAAATCAAGATTATTAAGAAAATGAAAAAGAAAAATCTCAAAAAAATGAATCGAGGTAGAAACGATGCAACACACATATGTCCCATGAGATATATCAAAAATAACCACCTTTTATTGAAGTAAACTTCCTCAAGGCAGTATACCCTTCCGGCCAGATGAATCTGTCATCCTGGAAATGTTCCGAGTTTTTGACAATCTTTCCTGTGAGGACAAAGGTACAAGTCCTGAAGTGTAAATGACTGGTTGCCACAATGTAAACTAATTACATATTGCAAAATACCCAGCCTCCCCAATTAAGTAGCAGAAAGAGGCTGCAGGTGCTGTGTTGTCATCAAGCACAAAAAGGTGGTGAAATGCACAAAATATGTTCAATCATGTCTTAGCTAAAAAAAATAAAAAAGAAAAAAAAATACAAGAAGAATAAGCAAATTCCAAAAACAGAAACTTACCAAGGCTTATTATCTGCAAATCCCCAATTACATAAGGAGAAGTACCTAGCCTAGCCAATATCCTTCGAATCCCTCCATCTTGTATGCAATCTTCTCCTGAATCTGTACTCCCTTCATCCTCACTACTCGCACTCTCACAGCTATCAGCTTTCAAGCCATTTTGCAGCTGTAGCATTCTTCTTGGAAGCTTTTGTTCACTGAGATACCTGGTCAAAACAAAATGCCCACTGCATCAGGATCCCAACAGTGCATGTAATATTTGAAGTATTCTCACAATTTTCCAACTCTTGTAATTAAAAGAACTGCACTTTACAGCTGCTTGAGTGTATCCAGTGAGACTTCAGGTAATAAAATGCGAACAAGAAGGTAAAGTAACAAAGGAAGTGAAGCCCATCCAAAAAAAAAAAAAACTAATATTGCAGATGTCCAATACTGATAACCAACTTCAAAGCATGAGCATCATCAAGCTTTCAGGACAAAATTCCAAGGATTCTCGGTATAGAAAGCAATTCAATTTGTGGAGTCACTAAAAGGCTGCATCAAAAGCATTATTGGTGCATGTAACCCTGTTTCCCAGGTTATCTTACAAGGAGACAAGCATGGGATGATATGGTCCCAGATATAGTAACCTTCACCAACTCAACAAGTGATGAGAGCATGCTATATTGTTAAATTGATGACAGAATTTAGTAATGATCCCTGTACAGCTGGAAGGATTTGCAGGAACATGAAGGCAATTCTGATTAAATAATAAGTACTCAAGAACACCATATTCTCATGCCACTTCAATGAACTGAACCCTTAAAATCAACCTTACATTTTTGCTTCTTCCAAGCTTCGAGTGAAACGAGGTTGCTTGCACTTTAGGTGGAAAGAAGAAAGAAGTCCTTTAAGAAACGAAATTGCCTGCTTTGGCTTAATTCTGGTAATAGAAAGATAAAATATAAAGTCAGCCCCCAAAAAAAATAGATTTCCTACACATTGGGCAGTGATCAACACACACGCAAATCTCCTTCAAACTTAAGAGAATGACAAACCTTGCAAAATCATGGGTACCAAAAAATTGCACAGATACTGATCTTCCTCCAATATTTTTGCTTAAGCCTTTATGATCACCAATAAGTGCTTCATCCACAACGATTGCTGGCCACATAGCATGACCTGCACTAAAATAATTAAAAGATATAGTTGGTGGAAAACCAAAAGGGCAAATTTGTCTTTCTACAGTGTTACAACAAATGCTGTCATCAAAACCCTGAGAAAAATAGCAAAATATGACATATATGCTGATGAGTGACAGTTTACATGTGACAATCCATGCCTTTATTGTGCTGGCATTCAATCTATTAATGAGATTGATGCTGACTCAAGTTTTGACAAATTAATTGACGATAGCACCAGTATGTACATAAAAACAGAAAAGTGCCCAAGCATGAGGATAGGAATCGAATAAATGAAAAGGATCCTTTCCACCAACATCCTGGCTCATTAATGCATAGGCAAACAAGACCATCCAAACACAAATACGCAATAGGCTTAATACAAGTTCTTAAGAGAATCATAGATTTTGTTTCCTTTTTTTTTCTTTTTATTACGAGGTAAACCTTTTTTTCAAACGCCCTCAATCCCTATGCCAGTAAATGACCATACATTCAATCAATAGTCTTTCTAACCCAGCTCATTGTTTTTCATTGACCCTGAAACTATTAACCATGATTTAATCAAGATGGGCATGTTGGAAGCAGTAAAAGTATGTTTGCAAAGGCACACACAAGAACCAGTTTGGTCATATGGCCTCAAAGATTAGTCTAAAGAAAAAGGACAAGGTTTTAGCTCACAATTCATATCTTGGGTTACAGAGACTTGATATTTCAAAGCATTTCTAAGATATCTTCTGGTTTTTATGGCTAATGTCAGTAATGCTAAGAGTGAAAACAGACAGAACAAATCCAAAGACAAAAGCTGAGGAATTTGGTGCAGACCAGTAAGTTTGGCCCATATGATATCCCCAGGCTCAAGATCTTGACAGTCATCCAAACTGGCAGCTAGCACAACCATCTCATCGTAATCATATCTATCACCATCTGCACTTTTTACAGAGACACTCAGATTCAACCGCTCCATCTCCTCACGAGAAATAAAAAATTTTACTTTCTCGTTTGAAAGTATCAAATCCTCTTTATCTCCGTCTTCGTATTCAATCTGCATTATAGTTCATTTCTCATCAAAAATAGTACCTCAACATGTTCTTTGTAATTGTAAATCAGTTCAAATTTTGAATAAAAAGATAAATTGGGCATCAAGCCATACATTATATCGGTTGGTATCTGAAATGTGCCCAACAATACGTCCAGAATACCAATCAGCATCCAATGGCCAGTAGACCTGTAAAATTCAGCTTTATCATGCATACAACAAAAAGGCCCGCAATAATGAAAGGTAAAAGTAATCACACAACTCAAAGAAGTAAGAGATGTAAAGCATATGCTTGCCTTGCATGGTAACCCAATGAACGTTTTCGGATCAACACCATCAAAATTCAACCTATTGAAGACAGAATTTAAACCCGTTAAACCAAAACTCACATAAATAAGCAGAAAATAGCAGTAAGACAATGAAAAGAGTCAAAATGTGATTAAAAGTCATGCTACATTGTCTCGATACCTAAAATGCAGCTTATAAACATTAACTTTTTATCAAAAAAATCCAAAATCCACCACTCTAAACAACTTTTGTGCCGAATTTATCAGTAATTTTCACTAAAATTCATCTCGAGGAGTACATCAAAAGAGAAACCCACCTGACCCATCTTTTAGTAGTAGCTGGAAGGGCCGAAAATTTATCAGAATTCGTAACCATAGAATCACGCTTCTTTCTCTTAAAATTCCTAATCTTACTATTGCTGCTGTTAGTATTGTTACGGCAATCCCTCAATCGAGGCCTATCTAACCCTAGCAAAATATTAGAATCGACACCCAATTTCAGCAACTCATTACTCCCAATCCTTCTCCTCTTCTTCTCCTTGTTCAACTCGATCATCGACTCCTCCTCGAATCCACAAATTTCGCTCTTCACCACCTCCTTAGGCGCAGTGGCGCGTGAAACCAACGAATCAAAAAACGAAGGGCAGGGGGTACGTTTTGGACGACGAGAGTAAACGTGGAGTAAAGAAGGGGGATTATTGACACGTGGATGATGCTGGTCGTGGTTGTGCGGTAAAAGCTTCCGGGCTTTAACTTTCTTTGACATGACGTTGGATGATCCACAGAGAGACGCGGCAGAGTACACGCGGTCCAACGACACGTAGCGTATGTGGGTGCCCCCGGCTTCGTCTTCTTCGAAATCAAGAGGTGATTTGTGAATTTTGTCTTCTGTGTGCGGTTTGTGGAGAAGCGCCATGAGCGAGAGAGAGACCCTGACCTGTCTCTAATTTGGGGGAGGAAAGTTAGGGTTAGGGTTTAAGGATTTGGTTTTGGAGGGAGGGATTTTCCCAAATTATCAGTTTCCCGCCCGCCGTATCTTAACATGAGAGAGGAAGAGAGGACTACTGCAAGCAAGTGTACCTGTTACCAATCCTCATGTTAATTTTGTTCTAGCCTTTTTTATTTTCCTATTTTTTATGCTTCTTTATTTTTTGTGCCTGGGAGGGAGGGAGAGAATTTTACAAAAGTACTCCGCACATGCCAAAATAGTCCTCGAATGTTTAGGGAATTTCTATTCAAACCCTGGGGCCCAAAGAGTTGCGCACTGGATCTTCGGTCGGCATATGGGTTGGATTGCCCAAAATGCCGGCCTGACTCGGGCTTGATAATTTTCCCAATGGGCTCCCCATCCTACTTGGTTACGATCAAGAATCCTAATACCTTTTGAAAATTTTTAACTTGTTATGGAAAAGTCATAAAAAGGAAAAACCCTCTCTTTCTCTAATAACACGATCAATGCATATGGGGTAAATCCATCGAAGAACCTAAATTTATTTTTCCTAATAGTAGGAAAGTCAAAATTGCCTTGGAGGATGATGGTGGTGGGATTGTGTTAGAGCTAATGCAAATCCTATGGCTACTACTATAGAAAAAAAACTTATAACACAAATCTTCTTATAAGAAAACCCTAGTCAAGCACCAATATTTAATATTTCCTTAGGCAATGATGTCATTTTTTCTAAAGATGGATCAAATTTTGATGAGGATGATGATCTGGAATACCTTATTGTTAAAATATTTTTCTTTGATTAAAAAAACATATGAAAGCAATAGGAACAAACCCTAATTGTGAAAAATATTAAGGAGGAGAATTAGTTATGGTTTCTTTGCAACAAATGTACAAAGACAATTGAAGTTGAAAAACGAGATGGTTCTAACCGATCTTGGCAACAAATACTATTTAGCTAAATTCACTTACGAAGAAGACTACTATAGAGTTTTTTTTTTTTTTTCATGGTCATTAGATGGTTGCGGATCATATTTTAATTTTATGAAATGGTATCTTGACTTTGATCCTTATGTTGCACTTGTTGATAAACTTATTGTGTGGATTCGAATGCCCAACTTACTAGTTGAATGTTACAATAAGGTAATCTTAACTCGCATTGGCAATAAGGTGGAACGAACCATACGTATGGATAAATGTATAGAGTAGAGCACCATAACAAAGTTTACCGAGATTAGCATAGAGATAGATCTAAAAACGCCGCTAATTTCCAAGTTCAAATTGTAAAGACAAATTTAAAAATTGAGTATAAAGGGATTCACTTAGTTTGCTTTAATTGTGGTTGTTACGACCATCGTGATGAAGACTATCTTACTACTCGTGAGGCCAATAATAGTTGATGGTGGCATGAGGTGACGCCACCACCAGCCTACACCCCGGCTTCGATTCATTGGACTCGAAATGGGGGAACCTTATGGTGATTGGATGTTGGTGCAAAAATCACAGTGTGGAAGGGAAAGGTAATCAAATGTAGCGTGTAGGGAATAAAAAAGGGTTTAATACACTCTATGCCCATGTACTTTAACAAAATTATTGTCACAACCCTTGTACCCGGATATAATCCATACCAATCTTATAATATTAGAAGTAGATGTAAATTTAACCCTTTTCTTATCTTTTTCTATTAGTTTGACTAACTTTCGTTACGAATGACCAATAAAATGTTGACACTTAACAATTTAGAGATAAAAACATAATTTTGTTTTTAATTGTGTTTGCTTAATTGGTTGGTAGTTAAAATCATTTTAAAAGGATTTTAAATTGAAAAAAAGGATAAAAAACATTATTTTTTACCGTGATTTGCTCTTTTTAGTTAATTGAACCTAGACATAAAAGAAATCAATAAAAACGAAACAATTATCCTAAAAAATAACTAATTTTTTATCTCCTTTATCATTAATCATTATTCGTTTATCTATTCATCTTCTTTAAAAAGTTGGTCGTCTAATCTTCTTAATAATTACTATGTTCTTCGTCCGTCTCTCTGTCTTCTATTGTCATTCCCTCTCTCTTCATCCATCTATTTTTTATCTCTCCGTAACTCTTCCGATGATGCTGAGGGCAACGTGGGCGATGGTGGTGTTGTTGAGAACAATATAAGTAGTGATGGTGCTTATAAGGGCAATGTAGACAGTGGTGGTAATGCTGAAATCAACATGGGTAGTGGTGATACTATCGAGGGTAGTGTAGGCAATGGTTGTGATGTTAAAGGCAATATTAGCAAGTAGTGGCCATAATATAGACAATATAAGCGAGTGATGGTGATGATGAAAAAGATATTGAGGAGGTAGAGTATTAGGTTGATCTTGATTATTTAAATGATAATAATGATGAAGAGTACGTGAAAGATAAATAATATGACAACTAAGTTCTTATAAGGAATGATGACTCGATAAAAAAGAGTTGTACGAGGTCGTGGTCAAGGTCGTGGTTAAGACGATGATACAAGAGGTAATGCATCCGCCACTCGATTCGGATATTGGTGAAGAGAAAGGTAAAACATAGATAAGAAAATGATGATAAGCACAATCCTATTGTGTATAAAAAAAGATAAGACGACGAGAAAAGATAAACAAAAGAGGAAACGAAAGAGAAAAGGCAAAGACATGGTTAACGATGATGGTGATTATGAGGATGTTGTCAATATAGAGGACAAGGAGATATATTACAAATCCGATGATAGTTTTAATGATATCAACACCAAAGATGAGAGTGATGCAGAAACTAGTAGAAGAGTAAAATAAAAAAAATTAAAACTTCAATCCTAATTAGGAGAAACGTTTTTTTTTAGGCGAGAATGATTTTTCCAATCAAGATGATAGTTAGAGATATGGTTATAAAGCATTGTATAACGTACTATAAAAAACCTAAAATTTAAGAAAAGTGATCCGGGTAAATGTAGGGGTATATGTAGAGATGATAGTTATAAGCGAGCGATTTTATGTTCTCTCTATTTAGATATCAAAAATTAGGTTGTGAAAATTTATAGTAGTTAACACACATGTATTCAAACCTTACACCATAGGTCCATCAATTATAAGGTAATTGCCGAGCACTTAAAAAAAAAGGGATTAATGTCACAAGAATGCATGTTTTTGAATTAGTGGATGACACTTTAAAAGAACCGTAGTGTACTATCGGTCTTTCTAAATGCAAGAATAATTTGAGGTTGTTGAAAAGTATTTTTTTGTGAAACTAATGATGAATTTCAAAGACGAAAGGATTATACTGTAGAAATTAAAAAAGCCAATAAAGGTAGGGTTATTGTAATACAAACAAGTTGATGATAGATATTTCAAAAGAATATATATTGGTTTTGATGCATTGATTAGGACATTTAAATATGGATGTAGAAAAGTAATTGGGTTTGATGGTTGTTTCCTATAAGGTCCTCTTAAAGGAAAGGTTTTATATGTTATTGGTTAATAACCAAATATTTTCTATTGTTTGAGTCGTTATGAGATATGAGAGAATGAAAACTTGCAAATTCTTTATCAATTAGGTGATGGTTGATTTGGGAATTAACATGGGATCCGAAAATGATATATCTTCATTTCTTATGGTCCCAAAGTATTAATATTATTTTTTTATTTACAAATAACGATGTTTTTTATTGTTTTTATTATTTGTTTAATACTTTATACTAGTTTTTCCTTTGTAGGGCTTGATTAGAGCAATTCATGAGTATATAAGGTGTGCAAAGCATATTTTTGCCAAATGGAGAAAAACCAAAAAAGGTACTACTCTATGTAAATAGTTTTGGGTAACGTGTAGAGCAAGCACACCAGACAAACTTTAAAGAACAATTGACGAAACGTGGTGGGACTATAAAAGAAGAATTTATGGAAATCGACCCAACTTTTTGGTGTAGAGGTTTTTTCATACTATATTATAAGTTTGGCATATTTGATAACAACTTATATGAGACTTTCATTACTTCGTAATGGAGTCAAGGTTCAAAAGTATTATCTCATGCCTCGAAACCATTAAACTTCCGGTAATGGCAAAAAATATTGAGAGGAGGAAAAAGTATGTAGAGAAGTTTAAAAAAGATATTGGTCCAAAAATATGAGAGAAGATCAAAGATGTACATGATGAATTCTAAAAATGCTAGATAATACATAACGGCCAAAACGGATATGATGTTAATGATTCCGAGAACACTTATATTATTAACATAGAAAAATATCAATGCACATACGGAAAATGAGACCTAACTGGGATACTATGTGCCATGCAATGGCAACTATCGAGCCTTGAAGTTGAATGAAGTTGATTATGTTGTTGAATGTTAAAAGTTAGAGAAATTTAATAAGAGTTACGAGTATTACATTCAATCAACTCAAAGTAAGAAATTCTAACGTAAAAGAGAGAAAAAGGTCGTTCTTGCACCAATTATTGAAACCAAAAGAGTGCGACCAAAGAAACTTAAGATCAAAGAACAATGAAAGCCTTTTTTTTTTCCTAAAACACGCCTATCTAAGAAATGAATAGTTATAAAATGCATATATTGAAGTAAAAAAGGACACAACGAGTAGGTCATGTATTCAAAACGTAAACATATTTGCTAAATTATTATTGCTTTAATTAAGTTTGTATCATACTAGGTTTGTTTATATCTTGTTCATATAAAAATAAAAACGAGATAATGCCTCTAAATCTTTAAGGCAAATACCATCGTTGTCAATTCCAAGTCATGTGTAGCATAATTCTATTCTTATTACTTAAACTACCTAGAAGCATAAGCTACTATCCTACCATGCTACATCAGTACACATCCTAACCCTACCCTCGAGAAATCTCAAAACACCGAAAATCCACCATTATTTAAAGGTAAAGTAAGGACTAGTGCCATGGTCAAACATGTCTTCAACTTTCAAAAGCTCTATTCACATTTATCTTACCACTAGAACTTCACATTTTTCCGAGTCAACTTAGTTAAAGGTATTATAGTTTTTGAAAAGTCTTACACAAACCTTCGATAATGTCCATCCGGACCCAAAAAGCTTCAAATCTCTAACATTAAAGTTGGTCTCAACCAACGGCTTATCGCCTCTACTTTCTTCAAGTGAACCATAATCCCTTATTGGGACATGATGCGTCTTAAGAATGAACATTCTCTATCCGAATTCATACTTTAAAAATTTAACATACAACTTCGATCCATGCAAGCACTCGCCTTAAATGATTATCATGACTTTTCTCATTCTTATAATTCACCGAATATCATTGATAAACACAATTGTAAACTTATCAAGGAAGCGTCAAAACATTCCATTTATTAAATCCATAAAAGTTATCGGAGCATTAGTAAGGCCAAATGACATCACTAAAAATCCAAAGTGGTCATACCGCATCTTAAAACCTAAATTTAGATTTTTTCACTATTCATCATTTTCAATCTCTTAATTTCTCAAATTCACTTAATTATACTTCAAATTAACTTCTTAATTCATGTACTCAAGATAATTAAATATCATTCAAGTAACTATAATCACCTAGAACCATCTTTACCTAAATAAGTCTCAAAGCCCTAATCATATTCTAATCAATTCCTCAAGCATTCAACAATCCTAAAGCAATCGCATTTCAATATTATTATTAACTACACATAAACATTTTAATTCATATATTAATTTATCATAAATCTTACCTTTACACTATGCTTTTCAAACCCCAAATCAATTATAACTCTTCAAGCTTTTCAAACTCCAAACTAACTAAACTCCAATTGAATCATCTTACTTGTGGTTTTCCAAAGCTAATTGAACAATGGATAAGCTTAGGAATTGAAGATAAAATTTGGGAGAAGTTTTTGGAGGGAAAGTGGCGTAAGAGAGGAAGAGAAGGGAGAAGAAAATTCTGGAAGAGAGGGGTAGTTATTGCCTCTTTTTATACCAACTCGAAATCCTTTTTTTCCCATATCATTACATTATCATTTTACTTTCACATGATTCTCATGTATGGTTCAAAATTGATCATTAAGAAGAAAAAAACTTGATTGCAAACAAAAAAATAATAATTTAACCTAAATAAAAAAAAATTAAAATTCAAGAACTTTTCTCCATTTGACAAAAAAATTTAGATATTAGAACCAACTAATCTTGTGCAAAATCAAAATTTACTTTTAATTCTTATATTACAAAATAGTATGGGTCAGTCCATTCAAAAAAGGTTCTCGTTTGCGCTTTTTAAATCGAGAAAAATCAGGATCTAAGAGGAGACATAGGAGGTAATTAAAAAAAAACACTAAAAGAGACAGGATTTTCGCTATTCCTAAGTTGTTCACTAAGATCGTGTTCAATGTAGACCAAGAGCCATTTATACCGTGCTCAACTTCTAAGCCTTTCTTAGTTGTCCCTCCTCCGCTCTATCTCGCTACCTCTCTATGAATTGTTGATTTGTGTCCTTTTTTTCATTATTTTTTCTTTGTTTATGCCTCTTCTTGCACACTCTTTCATTTCTTTATCTTTTTCTTCCTGGTTTTGTTTTCTTTTTTAATTTATATCCTCTCATTGCTTGTTTAATTTCTTTTATTCTATTTGGTATTACTATGGTCTTATGTTTTTACCCTCATTTCTTCTTCTTTTTTAGTCATTGTATGCTCCTTTTGGTCTTTTTGGTTATAGTTGTCATAAAGCATTTACTCGCTTCACTATCATATTCTATGGAATGAATTATTTTGCAATGCCTATTCCAAAATGCTTCAACTTCTAGAATTTCATGAATGCCTTCTAACATCTCATGGGCATATAGATCTAGTTTAAAGCACCAAAATGACAACGTAGACATCAATAATAACATATCCACCAAAAGCAAATTTGTTCAAAATGACACCATTAATGGGACCATAAGCTTCGGTTAGGGAGCCGAAGTAGGGACAATAACAATTGAGGGAGCAGGAGAACTGATCTTGAGGAGAAGATAAGAGGGAGAAATGAAGGTGGTGGGGGTGGTGCATTTGTTACAAATGGTAGAGTTTTCAATGGGAAAGGTTCCAACCAATGATGGAAGTGAGGAGAAATAAGAGAATCTTCTCAATTTTATTCTAATTGAAGTTTCTTTAGTAATCTAACGAAACCTCATCCATTAATTCCTTTTCTTGGTTTTTTTTTTCTATTTTGTTTTCTACATTTTAAATTTTAATTAAATCATGATAAATGCAAATGCTATTAAATATAGAGTAAATTATAAATTGGTCCTTATAGTGTTGAGAAACGAATAAATTAGTTCCTTTATTTTAAAAAATTAATTATTTAATTCCTTTTGTCTATTTTATGTTTTTTTTTTGTTTTGATTTTTTTTTTAAAAAGCAATAAATAGACATTATGAAAAGATTAATAAAAAGAATTTATTAAATCAAGCATTGATATATATTTTATTTTTTAAAAAATAATAATTAATTTGAATTTTGAAACTAAAGGGACAAATTTATAATTTACTCTCCGAATATAAAGCAAGGCATCGAATATTTTGAGGGTATTTTTTTTTAATTGATAAGAAAAATTAACAAAATCAAATTTATGATGTTTCTTTCAGGAATTAAATGGTAATCGAGAAGGTATGAAATACAATAGTTATCAATTACACATTAACTTTTACGAAAAATTACCTCATTCTTCGAATCGGCCTTTCTATCATGTTAGGTAACAAATAAAAAACAACTAATTTAATTAGCTATTATATATACATTACATCCAAATTCAAATAACCGAGAATGGGGAATTGGACACCATAATGCAACATGACTTTTTGAAGGAAAGTTTGATTTAGCAATTTATCATGATCGGTTAATTATTTTTTTCTCTCCATTTTTCTTATAAAACTTTAGAAGCTTTTGAGCTGTTGTCTAATGTGATAAGTGGATTTGACTTTTACAATTTAAATTCAAAAGAGAGCACAAGAAAGAATTTTCATGAAACTTTAATTTTAACGTTTTTCTATTCAAAACTTGATTGCAAAGTTAATATATTTTGTTACATAAAAGCCGTGTAGAACATATTCTTATCATTAATGTTGGATTTAGTTTGGAGTCAAAAAGTGAAGTTAAATATTAAGAGTTTAAATGTTAATGAAGGAAGTGTCGAGAGTTTAAAAAAATGGTTGAAAGATAAAATATTAAAAAAGTTTGATAAATGTGTAAAAATTATATATGATGGTGAAACCAATTAAATAAATCAAATTTTAAATTAAATAAAGTGTAAAGTAATATATAATATATATTTGTGAGATCCGTCGATTACATGTAGGGGTAAAAAAAAACAATGAATTAAAAAAAAAAGCACAAATTAATCTAAAAATCTACTCGCTTAACATTTTCTCCCTCACCCCATTATATTGACTTTTCTTTGCCATCCCATAAAAACAACATAATCCTCATAATCTAAGTCCAACTTTTAAAAGAAAACTTTAAAACGAGTGGAGTGGTAACCATTTCAATATTATTCATACACTTATAAATTATTATGGATTGGATGGTATTTTTGTTATTTTAGTTTTTTTTTCAATCTTCAATGCGCTTATAACACTATTCACCTTTTATTGTTATTGTACATCAAGTGGTATTTTTCTTATTTTGAGGCTTTTTTCAAGTTTTTTGGCATAAAATTTTGCTCATATTGCATTTTCATCCTTAATTTTTTTAATAATTTTTGTTTTGATCTATAACTTTATTTGTATTGTAATATGATTTCGATCGTTAAGAAGAGAGAGAAAATAGAGAGAGAGAGAGAGAGAGAGAGAGAGAGAGAGAGAGAGAGAGAGAGAGAGATCCATGTATGAATTTTTTAATAAATTTTTAGGATATGATTATTTGCTCTTAAAAAAATTAATATAATTTATACCATGAATTCTTTGAATTTTTAAAAGATTATATATATATATAAAGATTAAAAAAAAATTCAAATAATTTATCTTAGATTTTTTAAGAAAAAAATATTAAAAAAGTTTTTAGTTAATAATTTGGATATAGAAGAATAAATTGTGTTTTTTTAAGAAGAAAATCAATGAAAAACATAATAAATTATTTGTTGAACACATAATTTTAAAAAAATTATTGATTTTTAATTTTTTTTATTGTCATATTTTAATAAATATATAAAATGATGAAAATAAAATTATTTTTTAAAATTATTTTATATATTTTATCTAACGTAAATATAGTACGACTGAAAAACGAATACCAACTTGAAAATAAATGAGGAGATTTCTCGGTGCCGGAGGGAGGCGAGTTCGAATGTTCACGAAGGCGAAAACCAATACACCAAAACTCACCGTTTGACTGAAAAATAATCAGCGAGCCCGCCCAGCTGGAGTTCAAGCCCATTTGAAAGGTCCAGTTATAAGAAAGCCCATGGTGTCCACAAATGGTCGTCAGACCCTCGTATACCCAAATCACAAGTCCAATACAGAGAAATCAACTGGTGTTGAGATACAATTCGTTTCTCATATGCCAGTTTTCTAAATTAATGTAACCACCCAGCTCAGAAACCCAATGATTCATCCACTTCCCTAGATAGCCAGTGTCTCAATTTTAACCCCCTAACCCCGCCAAACCACCTAGCCTTCTTTCTCCAACATCCAAACCACCAGCTAGTGACGAAGTCCAGTGGATGGAATTGCAAGACGCGAAACACGCATGCCTATTATAAAACCCTGACTACTAATTTGAAATAAATGTTTCTAGCTTCATGAAATATATAAATTTCTAATCATTCATGAAGGTAGCTACAAAATATTTAAAGATTGTTTGATATCATTTGCAATTTTCGTTTTTTAATTTTTAGAAACTCAGATTATTATTATTATTATTATTTTGCTAAAATAAAACGTAAAATTAACAACTAATACCACAATTTTGTAAAATCACCTTGTTTAGTTTTAAAACTGGTTAGCCACGGCCTGAGAGTAAAAACTTCGATTCATTTTCGTTCAAGCACCAAATTCGTTGGCGCTCAAATTTAAATCAGAGACTCACTGAACCTCACCCACTCTCTGCACCATCGCGTCAGCCGATTCACAAGACCCCTACGACAATTTCCACCTCGCAGGAGAGAAGAAATACAATCACTAGATCCACCTCCGGATTCCCTAATACAAAAGGGCTGATCACAAGGTCACAGATCCACACTCAGTCTCCAGACAGAACAAGGACGGGGAGGAGGAGGATCCATCTGCCTTAAAAGGGCTGCTTCTTCAGCCTTGTAACTAACCCTCAATTCCTCCGTTCTTTCCTCTTTCCATCCTCGCTTCCTTCTCCCCTCGTTCGCTCCTCCCTCTTCAATGATGATTCAATCTCTGGCCACCTCGTCTCTCTAATCATCACCGTTTCTAACTCCTCCCCCTCACTTTGCGGTGAGTTCGTTACCTGAGTTACCAGGTTTTACTATTAACTAGCTAATTAATTAATCCCCAATATAAGCGTTCTTTTCTTTTCTGTTTTAGTTTTAACCAACAACCAAACCAAAACTGCAGCTCCACTGCGTTAGGATTTTACTCTTCAACTGGTAAACAAGCAGCAGCAATCCATAAGCTAGTATCAAAGAGAACTCTTGTTACTGCTCTTCAATTGCCTAGGTATGCTATCTCTTTTGTGACGGAAGGTAGAAGACGCCGCATATACATTCACAGTTCTTTTCTAGAATCTCTTCACTTTGTTTACGAATTGGAAAAGATTTAGTCCGAGCACTCATGTTTTTGGAGAAGAATGGGGAGTAATTAGTACAGGAAGGAGTCAAGATATGAAACAAAACAAGAAAACACCATGAACAGAAAAGTTCCTTTATTATATGCATCACAGTAGGGATTCCGTATTCATGATTTTAACAATTGACCAGCTCTAGAGCAAACTCCTACTCGTCAACAAAACGCACACCCATGATTCTCTTCCGATGCATGAGAAAGGAAACTAAAGGGAGGGGATGCAAGAAACTGCTAAGCCTTGCTATCTATAGCCATTGGCATTGGATCCTGCTTTGCTTCTATCTGCATTTCCATACCACACACCATACACAAGAAAAACAGTCAACAACAGGCACAATGCCACCATAACAACAGAACTGAGTGAATTAGGGGTTCGCCTATTTACAGTAGAATTTGCTCGCGCTGACTTGTTCATCTTCGCGAAGATGTTGCTATAAAATTGTGCATCTTTCTTGTTGTACTCTCTCACTTTATCCTTGAGAATTTTGTACTCCAGCTTCACATCCCTGATATCAGACATAAAAATAGCAATTCAAAATCAATCTATTTCCAGAAATGCAGATGAAAATAGCATCATCTTCATGGTCGATCTGGTAAATCACCTATTGTCAGGGTCAATCTCTAGTGCCTTTTTAATGTCTATCTCTGCCAGGTCCAAATCAACAAGGTGCATGTACGCTTGTGCCCTCCTATACAAGGCTTTCACATTCTGACTATCAAGTTCCAATACCTGCACAAACGAATCTCTTCCAACGTTAGCATGTACCTCAAGTCGATTATCTAAAGATCGAAAATGATTTCGAATGTAAAAAAAGCATGGAACCTTGGTGCAAAGCTTCTCAGCTTCCTTGTAGTCCTTGAGCTTCAGCTTGCAAGCAGCATTATTAAGCTTGCAGGAAATTTTCAGCACCTTTGATTGCTGCTTCTCCTCATCAGTGAAAGACGAGTCATACTCAATAAAGTTTGCTGCCTGTCGCATCATCAATTAACATTTGTCAATGTTTTCATTGAAATTGGACACAATCCTAAGTGTGATTGTCTTAGCAAGAACCGGTATACACCTTTTCATATCTTCTCGAGGCTCTTTCATATTTGCCAGCCCTGAACAGCTCATTCCCTTCTTCTTTCTTCTTCCCAGCAGCTTCGATCTTCTCTTGCGTATTCATATCCCACGATTCCTTTTCCTGTACAGACCATTCACAATTTGTTAGATCACACTAAGGCAACAATATTTGAAATCAACCACATTAAAGAAAACAGATATACTAGAGTCACCTTGGTGAAAGAGATCATCTCAACTTCATAGTACACTGTTGCATTGGCAGGAACAGTAGCCAAATCTTCTTGAGATTCGCATGGGCCAAAAGCATATTCTGGATGAACTGTCACCAGTGCAACTTCCCCTTTCTTCATAGTCTTTACAGCTCTATCCAGTCCATCAATGACTTGCTCTGTATGGGTAGGCATTTCAAACAGCACTAAGTATCAGAGAATTGACCACAAAATTCGAAGAAACATCATAAATGGAGGGGGAGAAAGTAAAACCATTCAAATTATGTTACCTTCGTCTATCTTGAACTCAAATGGTGGCTCCTCATCATGACCCTTCTTCATAAAGATAGTCCCATCTTGCAGCTTCCCAATAAGTTTCACTGATCAGGGAAAACGACAAGGATTGTAAAATACAAGTTCGAAAAACATGTTGATCCACAGCCATCCAGTCATCCATTCAGTCATAGAATATCATGGTAAACGTTAATTACCCTGGACAACAGTCCCATCATTTGGTCGTTCATAACCGTCTCCCTCCTTCAGGATCTTTTTCATCACCTTCTTGTCCTTAGTAACATCAGAAACAGTCTTCCAGGAAAGCAGCTCAACCATTATCTCAAGGGTTGCGTTCGGAGGAACAGCACCTTCATCACCTACCACTGGCCTCCCATTCTCTCCAAACCCATCTGCAAAAAGAAGCAAACCATTAATAAACTTACATTGTGGTTTAATTAAATGAATGATCCAAAAAGGGATTGAGCTTACATTGTGGTTTCACCGTCAGCAACACTTTCTCTCCCTTTTTCATTGTTTTCACAGCTTTTGCCAAGGCGGGACAGAAATAGCCTACACAGAAAAGAAAAGAAGACATTAAACCTTCTTCAAGAAGACATTCAATGTAATAAGAGACATATTAGTGAGTGAGACTAGACATACCTTCTCCGACAGTGAATTCAACTCCATCAGACTTTGAGACAACTGTGCCATCTTCAAGCCAAGCTTCATACTTAACTGCATTAAACCATAAAATACCATAAGGAAACAATGAATAAATCAAACCCAGCTTTACATGATGTTAGAGTAGCAGCAAATAAATAGCATACCGAATACTTCATCGAGATCTTTGGGATTTTCCCATTTTTCTCCCTCGACAATTATTTTCTTAAATATTCCCCCATCTTTGCATATGTCTTTAACACTTGTCCAAGATAGTAACTCCACATCAAACTGAAGAGTAGCATTGGGAGGAATAGTTGGAGGTGATCCAGATTCACCATAGGCCAACTCTGGAGGTATAGTGAAAACAGCATTCTCACCCTTTTTCATAGTCTTGATGCCCTCGTCCCATCCCTTAATTACTTGCCCTGAGATGCAAACAGTCATTCTATATAACAGAACAGTACAAGCAATAAATCTGATTAAAAAAAAAAACAAGAACAAATAGAGCGAACTTATAATATCATCAATCTCAGTTGTTATTAAAGATAACTATCTCCAACCAACATAGACCAGTCATTCTATCACACCAGCACAAATAATCAACATTTATATAATTCCACCATAGCAAAATATGAAACATTGTCCCAACCTTTCTCAGTGACCCTAAAAGTTACTAGCACCCTTTCGACTCATTGGCATATTAACTTCCAACGCATTGCAAAGACTCATTTCAGAGACTCATTTCAGCAGAATTTTGGAGAAAGAAAGAACAAAAAAAATTTGATTAATATCAAACATAAAAAATTAAAGCCCATTACTCCCTCACAGAGGGGGAAAAATTACAAAAATGGAAATCAACCGAAATTCTACAATGTACTATAAATTTAGCATAACAGGTATACACGAGAGACATTAATAAAAGAAATCAACCAATTTAATCCATGAAAAAAACAATGTAGACATTATATAGCATTGATTGATTAATTGATTACCTTGGCCAAGCTTGAACTTAAATGGAGTGCCTCTTTCGCGGCTTGAATCAAACTGGGTTCCATCAAGTAAAGTTCCAGTGTAGTGCACTGTAAATCGAGCAAAAGAGTTACTGCTACGTATAATATACTAATTATACCAAACCAATCAATTAGTTAACAGCTAATAGATAGGCAAGTATGTACCTTCAACTTCATCACCAGTACTAGGAGTCTCCCACCCTTCACCTTCCTTAACAAGCTTCTTTTTCAGCCCATTTCTGCCAATCTCCTTCTCCTCACCGACCTTGATAACATCTTCCTGTGGATCTGCAGGGATACCAGCGTCCATTTCATCTTCTAATTCCATGTTGCCGCTTCCAGTTGGGAACTCAAAATCGTCCTCCATCTATCTGATCTCAAAAAGCAGACAACAGACAGAAATGTAGTGAAATAAAGAGGGTTTAAGATTTGAAACAAAGCAATGAAAGGGAATGATAATATCGTGTGTTTGTTTTTGTTAGTGAACGAAAAGAGAAGCAGAACATTTGCCGTTTTATAGTATTTTGGCGTGAATAGCAGAGTTGGGTTGGTATATATGTTTCTAGAGACTTCTCAAGTCTCAACAGCCTCGTGATGGTTCCAGAATTGTCTCGCCTTCTCCTCGTTTTCATTTCAGTTGTTGACCCTTTCCATTTTTTCCCAAAAAAAAGCTAGGTAGGATCCGATCAAGCAAGCCCAATCCAAATTGGGTAATAATAAGAAAGAATTTGGGTCAGGGCTAGTTTGTGGTCCAAAGCCCAACTAAAAGCAGCATGAGCACGCACAGTTATAATTCCCACGCTTACATCTTACCAATTTACATGTCAGATTACTTTGTCAGCTGCCACTTGGATTACATCATTAGCTCCAATCAATAAAAATCACCTAATAATTGTACTCTGTAATTAATGTAAATTAAATAATTGTAATAAATATATAGAAATAAAAACGAATTATATTTTTTTTTACAATTATAATGAATAATTAATTGACATAAATATGCGAGCAGTAGATATAGAAATACACACTTAATAACCCCTACTTTTTTTCCATGGTTGATGTCTCCTTCTCACCTTCACAAAAAAAAAAAAAGAAGAAGAAGAAAAAGGGGTCCTTTGGCATTTCTTCTTCATTTCCGTAACCCGGTATTGTTTTTACTTTTCACATTTTCAAGAAACAAAAACACAAGATTTTCTCATGAATTCAAATCAATCATTGAGCATTAAAATTGATCAATTTGAACAACATAGAGTGGTTCAGAGTTTTGGATATTCAATGAAAAATTTCAAGATTTGAATCATATTTTTCACTTTTTTTTTTTATAGTCAACTTAAGATTTAAATCTATTTTTTTCAATTTTAAAAATATAAAAAACTTGAAATTTCCGGTTAAAGCCAGTTCATATCCGTAAAAAATGATCCACGAGTAGTCAGTTTCAAATAATAATAAAAAAAACTTGATCAATTTGTTAGCTGTGATGGTAGAGAGAGAATCACAAAGGGATGTTTGAATGAATTATTGCCATTATTATTAAACGGAGAACATCTTTATTTACTCTGACTTCACTTTTATCTCTGCTTCTTCTTCGTATTTTTAATTCATCATGTTGAGTTTTTTTTTTTTTTCAATTACAAAAGACGCGTGACTAAATATTGAGAGATAGTAAATAGAATCAACCATCTTAATTGGTGATGGTTATTATTGTTATTTTATTGCAGTTGTGGGGTATCACATATGAAATTGATTTGTTCATTTGGTGCTCCCTTCTTATTCAAAAAGTGATTTTAGATGCTTTTTGCTAATATCATTAATATAATTAAGAGAATGGTTTAAGTTAAAGAAGTGTTTAAGGACTTTATTAAATTTAATTAATGAAATGTTGAAATTGGAATGCAAACCATTACTAAATATGCTAAAACAAAACCTAAAAATATTTTATACATGCTTTTCATACACTTAGGTTTCATTATTTATTTATTGTTCTATCTCTCTAAAATCAATATTCATTCACTTTGTACTATTTGTTCAAAAATATTCTCTTTGGTCTTTTGTTTTTTAATATTTTCTTTTCGATCTATAACTTTCTTTTTCATTTATTTTGATCTCTCGTATGTTAAGAGGAGAGGGAAACAAAAGAGAGCGAAAGGAGGAGGAGGACGATGCCTATTTCAGCCATCCCGAAGCAATCGATCTTGCCATCATTTTATTCGTCTCGAAAAGTAGAATTTGTTTGTGGTGGCGACAAGCAATGAAATAATTGGAGGAGGTAGATCGATATTCGAAGATATTTTGATTTTTTTATTTTGATTTGAATGTTTGTGTATTTTATGTGAATTAGAATGTGTTTTTAGGTTCTAAACAAGGTTATTTAAGTTATTTCTATGATTTTGATGTGTTTTTGACAAAAAAATAAAGCTAGATTTGGTTTCGAAAGTCTGAAAATTGAGATCCTAGAAATCGAGCTTGTCGAAAATTACGAACTTGTCGAAATATTGAAAGCGTTATTTTTTCTTGCCTAGGCCTCGCATGGGCAAGTTGTTCCGTGCCTAAGCATGTGGGCTTGGTCCCTTTTTTTTTCTCTAATTTTTTTCATTAAGAATTTTTAAAAATTATGGAACATCAAATATTACTATTTGTGTTTTTCATGCAACATGGTGAGGATAAAATATATATATCATCTTTTTCATATTTTAAAATTAATATATATTTCATATTATATTACTCTTAATCTTACTATTTAAATTCATTCTTTAAATTTGTCATTTTTTGTATGAAAATTCTCATCCAATTAATTTTTTTGAATAATTTTACTCATAAATATGATTATTTTTTCTCTAAATTTGAACTTTGGAATACAATTTTAAAACATGGTTATTTTTGAAAAAATATATATAAATTGATATAATATATATCATGAATTCATAGAGTTTGAAATTATAGTTGTGTGTATATATATATATAAAGTTAAAATATATATTTATAATTTATCTCGATCAACTAGGTATAGTCAACATGTATAAAAAAAAATTAACATTGTAGAACCAATTTATTTAAAATAAAATAATCAAAATAATTTTTTAAAGGAACCAACTAATTATTCAAATATTTTTTTTATGCTAACATTATTGATTATTTTATAAATAACTATATATAGATCAAATGCCTATATTCTCAAAAATTAATTTTCTCAGTAGCATTAAATAAATTTTTTTATTAGTTAATTTTTATACAAGTCCATACATTAATTACAACTTTATTTTTTGAACATATTTTTATAAAAATATATATATTAAGTATTTTTTTAATTCTTAATAAAATTTTTGGTTAAATTATTACAAGTTTTTATTTAAGAACTAATGCATAAAAAATCATGTTTTTTCTAAGTAGAAAAATTGTGAAAAACATAATTTTATTTTGCCCCACTCGTAACGTAACGTAGCAGTAAACAACTAGTTAATAACTATATATTGAATTATAAATTCTTATTTTTTGTAGCTGGAACATTAATTTAAATCAATTGAGATAATTGAAAATTGGTTAGGTGTGATAAATAGCCTACTTACTTGATGAATCATAAATCTAAACATTGGTCTAATAATCAATAACCAATAAAGATAATAATTACGATTCTAATAGTGATTATTATATTGAAAACCAAGTATAAGTGATCATAAAGCAATAGATATAAAAAGAAATACACCAAAGTGTTTCTCCACTTGTGTATAAAAGACTCACCAAGTTCATCAATAAAATCAAATGTAAGTAAGAGTCATTTGGTGTAATACCTATAAAACCTAGTAGTATAAGTTAAATGGGGGCTTAAGCGAGGGACATTTTGGTAACATTGTAAGGTAAAAAAAATGGAAACAAAAGAAGATGATAGTGCGGTTTCAATTGAAACTAGTAACACAAAAGAGAAAAGAAAAACAGGAAAAAGGAGAAGAGAAGAGAAGGAGAGGAAGGAGAAGACTTATCGACGGCCACCAACTTCGACGACGACAACAATAGAGTAATTCAAGCGGGAAAAAGAAAAATTAAAAAAAAAAGAGAGGAGGAATAAGAGAGAAAGAGAGAATAATGGATTTATTAAGTATGTTTTGAAAGTTTTGGTTAATAATAACATTAATTAGAGATGGATTATATGTGATTTAGTAAATTACATCTTAAATTAGGAGATAAAATTGGGGATTACGGTTTGATTAAAAATTAGGGTTTATGTAAGTTTAGAAATTAGAGAAAATGAGTGAATGGGTAATTAAGGGTTTAATCAAGTTTGAATTTTAATTTATTAGATTCTAATTATTGTTATTTATGGAAAATGTAAATTTATGATAGATGTGAGAGAAGATTTGACGGAGGAAGCCGCCTAAGTAGGAGACTTTTGCATTTTCGGAGTGTTCTTCTAGATTACGAGTAAGTATATCACATATTATAGGTCTTTAGTAATAAATATATTGCTTGTGAGGCAAAATTTTGATGTATATATAGTATGTTTAAATGTTATAGATAATTTCATGTATATTGAATTATCTTAGTATATGTATTTTTATCGTAAATTAAATGAAATAGATTTGTATATTGCAATATGAATTGTGGATATTAAAGAAAATACTAGTACATTGAAATAGTATATATGCATGTGATATAATAAGCACTTGCATTAAAAGGAAAATACGTGATTGATAAAGTATTAAAAGAGTATAATGATATTGATTGCTTGAAGAAAATTCCATGAGAACTAATTAAAGCTAAAAGGGTTATAGTTAGCTTAAATGTACCTAGTATTGCCGGTTAGGGAATGCCCATTGTGGTTCCCTCGGAATTTACCCCTCGTGGACCATAGTTTACCCCTTTGCGGGCTATAGTTACCCTTCGTGGGCCATAGTTACCCGTCAAGGGGTCATAGTTCGTTCGCATAGCGTGATTTCAAGTTGAGATGCTATTATTAACTCGTTAATAAAGTAAAGAAGTTATTAATGGCTTGATTGATTACAATTTATGTAATATTTATGCATTGACATATTTGATAGGTTGTATTAATAGTTAACCTTTTGCATGAAAGTAAAGCGTATATGAAATCGTGTGTATAATAATTTATAGTATGTGTTATGCTTACCGAGTGTTGAAAACTCATCCCCCAAACCTCTTGTGTTATCTACAAAACACAAGAGAGTGTCTGCGCCACTCTAGATATCGGGAGGAGGAGAATATATTTTTTCGATTTGGAGGTACTACTCGGGTATTTTTGTTTTATCCGGGTATAGGATTGATAGTTTTAGTTTTATACTCATTGTCCATTTTTGCATTGTAATCATTCATTATAAAATTCATTTCACTTATTTGCTTCGCTAGTAGCGTCAACAAATC